CATTAGCTTGTTACGTGACGTGAAGCAGTTTATTTTGCTATCGTTTCTGCATCTGGTCATTTTATTTGACTTTGCTTTCTGTTTGCAGCTTGTATTTCTTCACTCATTTGAAATTCCATTTTGACCTTGTTGGCTCTCTTTATTACTAAATAAAGTCGCTTACTACTTTCATGTTATTTTACACATATCATCATCCAGTCTTCTGTAGTTTCCAGGTATCTTTGAAGGACAATTGTTGTAGTTTTGTAAGATAGTCTAGTTGAAGTAATCCTCTGCCTCATATACAGACGGTCAACATCAGCTTTGGGATATTGCATGCGGTGGCAGGGGAGAAGCTTTCGCCTTTTGGCATCAATTCGCGTAATGTCAGTTATGGTCCTGCTCAGAATGTTGAAACTGTATTGCACCACATAGACAGCCAAGGTGTTTATGGCTGATATTCTGTTTTTTTAAAGCTTTGTATTCCGTATCAGACACACACGCCTGTTTATTTCTTTCTTACCTTTTCCTTCATTTGGGTACGCTGTATTCCATCTCCTTCACTAATTCATAGGTACTTATAGGCTTCATTTTGTTCAAGTTCCTTAACCTTTGTGACAAAATCTAAATCTACAGAGTGTGTTTCTTGAATGTTACTTTTGCACATTTATCTATTCCGAAATCCATACATATGTCGTCACTGAAATATTTTACAATATTGAGGAGACTCTTCAACTCATTGTCTTCTTTTGACAAAGACTTTGAGATCATCCATGTAGAGTAGGTGATTGAGTATTTTCTTGTTTAGTTGTGGACATGCATTATAGGCCTTCACGAAACGTACATTACCTGCTGTCGATACACACACACACACACATATATATATATATATATATATATATATATATATATATATATATATATATGCGTTTTCGAGATATTGTGAAATGGTGACCTCTAGTGTTTGTGTTATAAACTGACTAGTACTTACTGTTAGTCAATTTATAGTTTGTAGCTGTGAGATCTTGGTTCTTTTTAAAAGTTCTTACAGTGATATTCTCATACTGATGACACTTTCAAGTTAAATGAAGAATGGTCTATACTGACTCCAATTTTGGAATTCACACAGTAGATTCATTGGTTATATGTACTTCAATCATGATCGTCCTTTTTATTGAGTTTCCAGATTCATTAGTTATATTTTCCTGACATATACCATTAGTTTCATTGATTGTATGTTCTTGATATTTCCAGCTAGTTTCATTGGTTATATGAAATCGACATTTTTGAAGTGAAATGTGTGAGCATAAAGGAAGAATTAAGATATTCTTCAAACACGGATCTACAAATTTTAATAATTTTTATTTATTCGAGTTTTATTTTTCTTGCAGATTAAAAGAAATGAATTACAAAGCTTCTTTGCGAACTTCACACAAACTATTTTGTGTATCTTTTTGCAATACAACCGAGTGAATTCTGTTAGTTTAACATAAATAGAAAGCATCTACATGTGTACAGATATATGTGACACGATTTCACGTAGTTTTCTGTGTGTATAAATTTTAGTTGTCAACCGCATGAAGTAAGGCAGAGGAAGGCTAGTTGTTATTGTTGCAGCATGTAAATAAACTTGGCGAAACAGTGTCATTATCGCTAAACCCAATTTTTGTAATAATTTATACTAGAATAAATATGCGAAAGATAGATATGAGTAATTAATTGTAGGAATTTCAGTTTTGTTTGTGTAATAACGATCGAACAAACACTCTGGTCAAAGGTTCACTGAAAGACTAATTAGCAAACAAGAATTGATCTTATTCATAATAACATAATCAGCTCCAAATTTTAAATTTATTAATCTCAAGTTTATTGGCTAATATAAATTTTCCTAATTCTTAAATATTCCTTTTAAGAAAAGAAAACTATTGTTGAACATATTCTGAAGTTGAGCCTCCAAAATTTCAAGCGATATTTCATCGACTGTCAATACAAAGAATATCATACGACGTCGCTGATTTGTCAACATATATATGAATACAAAAATTCAAATTATTGGAGCCGGTTGTTTGCTGGTCTTTCTACAAAAATTGAGTTACTTTCTGTGTGAGCTGGTCAATGTACAAAAATGTGTATTCAGTGAGAGTACTTAAATATATTAGCGTTTTTCTACAATTCTGAAACGAGGCTCCACCTGCTACTGGATTGGTTATATGTTCTTGACATATCCTGCTAGGCTCACTGGTTATATATTCTTGACATATTGATAATGTCAAGCTGATAATCACTTTCTGTTTTTCGTCTTTTAATTGGAACAATGATAACGCTTTCATCAATATCGAGAAAAAATGCTAAATAAATACGTTTGCTATGTTTCCAATAGTGTACTTGCTAAGTTTAAATTTCAGAAGTCGAGAATGACAGTAATATTTTTATCTTCAAGTGTTTGTTTGTAAAGGAGATGCCTAGAAATATTGAAAAGTGGCCCCTTTTTGTCCAATCCGCAGTCATATATAGTGATTTTAAAATAAATATGTTAGTAATAATTGCCTTCAGTTGCTGATTATCTGGCTTAAATATGCACTCACTTTTGCATATCAGTTACCATTTTGTTTTTGTCTGTAAAATACACTAACCAACAAACTATAGACATTTTTTCTTGTTTTTTTATAGTCGGAATAACAGATTAAAAATATTAAATTGTTTTTAAAACTTTGATTCCACGGAACCCGAAGAACCAATTCACCCCACTGTAGTAATATTGGTAGCTGAAATGATGAAGTCGTTTGAAAGATAACAGAATAGAATAAAAAGGCACGTATTTTGTTTATCAAGATTTTCTTGTTTTGTTTTTACTTGATGTACTTGACGAACTTTTAGGGTACACTTTTGCACAAAATAGAAGTGCCGGCATTAATTCAATTATTTCATTCAACTGCATTTTTCATTTTTTTTTTCTTATGATTTTCTCCGCTGCCTGATTACTTTGGTCGAGGAATTAAAAAAAATCCCCCTTACTTTATAAGCTGAAAAATTCGCAGCGGCATGACTATTCCAAACATCAGCAGATTCGTTGTAAGAAATCTAATCAAAGATTGTAGTTCGAGATTCAATAACCTTTTCGAAGTTCAGTTGATTTCTCAGCCAGAAGGCACAAACTCGTTATTATTATTATTACACAAATGCAAATTCACCAAAAGATTCTCAACTTCAAAAAACTTAAATCAATCAATGAGAATAATTAATTCTATTTTGGTCTCATTATTGGGAAATATCCAATAGCGTCCACCTTTTAGAGGTACACGTCACGAGAATAATAACAGGATTCTTTGACTTATATGATATTGGCCAAATCATTTTGTATATGTGTGTTTTTTTTCTGTAAAGCGTATTTATTCATTTTATTAATTAACGGTAATGGTTTAGGCAAAATAATCCAATCCTACGTATAAATTATGGAATAACCTGTATTACAAGCATACTGAAAATGGAATAATTTACACTGTAACTGTTACAATTAAATTTTTTAAAATTCTGTTTGTTGCAGCTTTTTGTTTTGCACGACAGAAAAAAAAGAGGCCATCACTTACATACGAAACGTAAGCCTGAAGAAGGCCGTAAAATATATCTACTGAAGTGTTAAGGAAACAACAGAAATGTTATAAATGAGGAGTTAAAAATATCCGAACTACACTTAGAATGCTTCTTTTCAAAATTATAGACAAAACTGCAGATTAGATATATTGTTTCTTGACTGCCTTGACTTTCTTTAAAATGAGATTTATATTTTAAAATATCTTTTCAGATTTTTTTTTTTTTTTACTTTGAGAGAATGAGAGAAAAATAACTTTCAGAAAAAGGACAGAAAAAACGAATATATGATACCGATCCGCTTGACTCACTCATCGAATATTTGGGGAACTTATGAAGCTTATCAATGGCAGCAAAACATTTTTTTAAATCATTCCACCCCGTGCAAGGCGGGAATACCACTAGCAAATAGAGGGTTGCAGGGAGTGAAAGTGAAAGAGAAGACTGAGAATAAGGAAGATTGAGAAAAGGACAAAATATCAACGGGATTCAAGAAGACAGAAGATCGCGATTGACATTGCATTTAAATTTTTGAGAATTACAGCTATCTGGGAAGAAAGGAAACGGAAGTGATTTCCACAGGCGAGAAAAGGAACTTTTGGAGCAGAAGTGGCGTTTGCATTTAGCTATTTCAACAGTAAAAGCATAGGATGGGACCTAGATACCAATCTAATAGCACGCTTAAATTCATGTGGCCAGGCACCAGGGAAAAAAAAGCTTATCAGAGCAGTTTTCATGAATTTGTTTATAGAAAAGACAGAGGGAAGCCACGTCACATCGGTGAGAAAATGACTAAAAGCGACATGCCTGGTCAGGATCGATTACTCTTTATTCCAGCGCTTCAGTCGAGGCATTCTTCGGTCTTCCTCTCAGGCATGATGCATCTGATAATTTTAGAGCTCGATTAATACTTGTAATACTATGTCTCACTTTGAATCCGCAGAAAAAAACACCCTCTTGTTATGTCTGTACTTCTAAATGCGCCCAAAATACACGCTGCTGAACTTCAGAAAATTGAAGCAATGGAAATTAGATGCCACTAGAAAATCTTGGTCATCTACACAGAACAACTCATCAGCGTAAATGTATCCCAAGAGATTAACTAAGCCATTGGGCCCCACTACAACCTTCCCATCAGCAGGAATCGGAAGTTTGGCATTGTATCGGCACATAATCCTATTAGACGGATTAGCAAAGAGGATCTTGCAGTGCATCCTGCGTAGGAGCATTTTTTGAGTGATTGCTTTGTTTTTTATGACTTATCAACCTTTTGCATGTTATTTAAAGCCAGAAAATGTTTGTAGATTGTAAGAATTCTTTGGGATAATAATAATAATAATTCAAGTCATTCTAATTAACCCACAGTTGTGGGATAAGAAATGATTCATACATTTCCAATGCCGTTATCCCTTACACCGCTGGCATAACCAAACTTACAGCACCTGGTACTTCCAAGCGGTCACACATCTAGATACTGACCAGGCTTGATCTTGCTTAACTTCTGTGGTCGTACGAGAAACAGTGCTTCAATGTGATATAGTCGTATAAGCCCTGCTTAAGTGCAGGAAGAGAGGTAAAGAAAGACAGGGAGTGATAGATGCATATTGTCAGTTATTAATAATCTGTGGTAATCCAACGACCCTTCACTTGTTATTTATAAACGACATCGAAAGCTACCTGATGCAACGTATACCAGATTGATGTAACCTAGGGAAGGTTACTGGATAGAATAATCACACGAAGGTGGGTAATAAACGATAATACTTACGACACGGACAACACATATAAGATTCGCCTGCGGCGCGTAGAAGTAGTCCACTGCTAGAAGTGAGACAAGTGAATTCCACAATGAATCTACAACTGCAGGTCAGATATGGCAAAAGGCCGAATTTAATGTGGGGTATCCGAGCCCGTAAACTCGGCCAAAATTTCCCCATAGACCCCATATAAAACAGGGTCGGGTAGCTGTTTTCCGAGACAAGACTCTGCCCTTCGACAAAGCCTCGTCTGTGTATCCTCACTGCGCAGAAGCAGAGAGTTTGACCAGCACAGCTAGAGACGAATCTCCAACTGAAGACCAACATACAATATTACTACTGTATTTATGAGAATGGGGACATACCCATTATCGTCTGTAGGTATGCTACAACACAGGAAAGCCGAAAAACGCACCGACAGAAAAGAAATTTAAAAAAAGGAAGCCATTTGTTCGATTCACACGTGGAATAATATTTATTATACACTTCAACAAAAACTGTGAAGTTCACAAACTGTTTAAAATTAAAAAAGAAAGTTTCCCTGTAAATAATTTTAAAATACTATACAAGTTTATTTAGAAGAATTCTATTTTTTAAAACTGACATTAATCTTTATTAAAATAAACTTTATTTTTACTAGGTACATTCAATGACATTAATTTCGCTGTTTAAGAAAATAAAAATCAGGGAAGTCAACTCAAACACGTGAACACATTTAATATAACGTTTAGAGCAGTTATAAAAAAAAATCCTGGGGAAATAATTCCGATAAGAAGGACACTATTATTATTTGTAGATGCCAGGTAGGAACTTTTTTAAAAAGTGCTATCCTTACAGGATCAAGGTGATTATTGCCCAATGTCGATTCCTTCTCGTTATTACATGGGAATTATCATGACTTCTTTGGAAGTGCTATCTCAACGATTTTGAATTCAGTACTCTCTTTCTTCTACACTGGTTGCCTCCCATAAGCTAGAGTGCCCTGTCTACCACATAGCTGGCAGCGTAGAATATACAGGTTCATGACTTTTCTAAGCGCATCTGGGCGAATGCGAATGCAACAGACTAGACTGGAATTTGAACTTCACTCGCCAATTCCTCTTTCTATCGTTAACCGTTATGCTATCGGTACAGCCATCATATACACTCGCTTGATAATTAAATGCTGCATTATACTTTCCTTCGTTTTTTTTTTCTGTACAGAGACTTACAGATGTAGATCTTTTTTCTCGTGAGGAAGAAAATGGTATAAAATTTTACATGTGTTTATGAAAATTCTTGCTTTCTTTATCTGAAAAGAATAAGCTTTTATAGTAAATACATCTTTACATTACTGCACCATAATTAGTCAATAAACAATAAACTGAAACCACTCTTGTTGATCAGCTGTCATTGAAATAATATATATTCTGATTTAATGTTATATAAGTATTGCAATCTCTCCAGAGAATGAAATTACTTGTATGTTTATTTATGAGCAACCAGTTTTAATGACTATATCCCTCTAATGTTACACAGTCAAGAATAACTATTTTTCCATCGCAAAATCATGAAAAGCCAATAACGTTTTTTTTTTAATTCTTAATATTTAATAAGCTTAGCCAAGTACGGCATAAGGCTAACTGTGGGGAATGGAAGATTGTGCTGCATCAATCTTTCAAGTGAGTAAAATCTGCCTAGAAAATCAGCATTCAAAATTCGGAATCCAACTCAAAATAGTGCCTTCCGGAAATAATTATTTTACTTACGTTGCAAACATTTAACTTCAGATGAGCTCCATTCACTAATGCCACCAATTCAGACATTTAAAGCTAATAAATGCCTTGTTACGTTCAGCGGGTTGAATCATCCTCATTTTGATGAGAAAGTAGTTCCATTTAAAGCGCGTCTTCCCAAGAAATGCTTTATTGTTCTCTCTCCTTAATAATGTTTTTCTTTTTCTCAAATTCTTTTACACTCAGTGATCTTTTGCGTCTTAGTGGCTTTATTGCGTTGATTATAGTGAAATGGTTAAAAATATCGCATCAAACTGGAAGAACTGGATGAGAAAAATGCTTCATCTATCATATTCCCCGAACCTCATTCCTTCTTATTACCATCTTTTTAGAACTTTGCAAAACCATCTGAATGGACGCGATGCAAGAGAAAAGATCGAATATGAGTTATCCTCCTATTTTGTGTCAAAATCTAAATAGTTTTATAATTGTGATATTAAAAGTTTCTTCCAAGATTGGATAACGTGACTGAAAACAATGCATATGAAATTGATGACTAAATACATCTTCATTAAGCACTGTTTTAACTCTCATAAAAAAAAATCAGACAGAATTCAACTTTGTATAGCTACTAACATATTGATCCACTCTCGTATGTAAGAGAGGTGTTCCAAAGTTTTGGGACCTAACTAGAATGAATTTTACGATGATCACAACGATGAGTTGTATTTCAGTGTCCACTTGTAATATATTTCTTATATATTGGCTATGCAACCGATCTAGCTAAAAGTTTCAATATATACTTATAATGTCTCACCGACTACTCATTTTGTCAATCCCTATTACGGACACTTACTTGGTTCAACACCGACAGATCTCACATGTGGTTTATAATGCAACTATGCTTAACAGTTTCTGGGGCTTCGACAGTTGCTAGAACATAGTCAGTACATCAATCACGATAACTTGCTGTCATAGCAATCGACGGCCTCCGAACAGTTCCGCCTACCTAAATTTACTCACAAGGTTTGGGTCAACCAGTTGTATGGTTCTCAGGCTTTCTTTATGGTTTTGTTTCCAAATATCACCGCCCAAGCCGAGAAGTTAATTCGACGATGGTGGGATCGAACCCAGGTCTCATAGTCGGAAAGTGAGCATTCTCACGGCGCTCCCATATGATATGATTGATATGATAAATACACCAAATTAATTCCATGTATTTGGGATAGTTTGATTGATTTAAAGACATATCTGATATATCTGGGTTATTTAATGTCGAATATGTCTTCCAGAAGGAAAATGAATTAAGCAGACATAAGTGTTCAAATTCTCGAGAACATCTATATCAAAAGCAACCAGCCATCACTCAAAAAATCATTACGAGTGTAGCAAATATTTACTACCATTTTGCATTTATATTAAATTCTGGTTAGCTCCCTTATATTGACGACGCTTGTTTTGCAAAAAATTCCTTAGATGCAACAAATAAATTTAAAATATTAAAATAATTACACCAGAGTGCGTTCACGCGTATTTATTTTTTTTTAAATTACCATCACAACGATCACAGTTACAATAACTTTGTCTTTGTAATTCACCCTTGAAGATGGTCTCCGAGGAGATCGAAAGTACTGAGTAAGAAAAAACTATGGCGCCGCCCTTGATGAATTTCATGTATACATCAAGAAACTGATTAGATAACTATATAAATAGACATAATATGTCTATATTACACAATGAAATATTTAGATAAAGAGATAGAGATGGTATCCTCGAATACGAGTGGCCAGTTATTATTATCATATATATATATATATATATACACACACACACACACACATATATATATATATATATATATATATATAAATATATATATATATATATATATATATATATATATATATATATATATATATATATATATATACTCGTCTACTAGGGAAGCTAGCCAATCCCTATTGCAGACACTCGTTCAAGCATATTTGTGTTTGTTCAACATCCTCAGAGCCCACCTGTGGTTTATACTGCTACTATGTAGAGAAGACCTTAGTTACAGTTTCTGGAAGAAAGCGGGTTATCTAGCGTGATCAATAATCTGAACAATCTGAACAAGGCCAGCACACTTAAACCCTCAGTCACGATGACGTGACTTGTTATCCAGACCGTTAACATCAGTAAGTCTCCTTCTTGACAAATCAATCATGGTGAGATTCGAACCCGGATCTCATGATCAGAAAGCTAACCATTCAGCCACGATATATATATATATATATATATATATATATATATATATATGATGCATATTTTTTATTTCATATATATATATATATATATATATATATATTTACTGATGTTTATTTTTTATTTCAACTATGTAAATATTTCCATAGGTCATTAGAAATTCTAACCTCAAAAGAGAAACAAAATCTTGTAAAGCTGTTGAGTGATTGAAACACAGCGTTACAAATGGCGGATAAGCTGAAACGAGAAAACAGAAATCGATCAAAAAAACATTTAAAAAAAAACAATGGCAAAATAAGATGAATAAAAACAACAGATTTTAAGAATGTGACAACGAGAGATATGAGAAAAATTAATTTTTTTTTTAAATAATACAGCCACACTATCGTATTGTAAGAAAAACAAAACCAAAGACATCCCCAACACAGAACATGATCTCTCATGTTTGAAATCGGGTTTTCTTTCGAGATAAATCTCCTGTGACTATTCTGACAACTTTGGCACCAAAAAAGAAAATAAGATTCTCAGTTCTCTTAACTGTCAGTCCTCTTTAATCACATATTACTTCACTCGCCAAAAGAGTACGCTTTCTGCAGCCCATTTATTAACAAGAGAAGTTCGCCGTCATTGGATGAGCGATGAGAAGACGAACTAACCAAGTATCATTGTTTTTGCTAAAATTATATTATGGCGTATCAATAAAATTCACTACTATTTTTAACATTATTCTCATCGGTTTTTCTTCGGTTGGTTGAAATAACGTGAGATTCCTACATTTTTCTTATTATATTCTTTGCAATTGCATTTTATTGCATAATTGATGACCATCATAACATAAACATAATAATAATAATAATAATATGTTATTTGCAATAAGACAGCTACTATGAATAATGATTATAATATATTCCGATAAATCACTTGATGAATCCGCAGTTGTTTTGTCAAAATTGATTTCCACAATTTATTTTTTTATTCTGATTATACAGTTTCGTATTTCTATGTTCATGCATTTGAAATTTATTAAGGAAATTTCTCTTTTTTTGATTTTTACTAAATGCTGTCCTGAGGGGACATGGCAGATAAAGGTCTCCATATTTTTTCTGGAAAATATTTTAATCTATTAATTGTAAATTTAAAAATCTGTAAGTTATAGCACGAGCTATATTTAATGAATGGATATTGGTGTACGGATGCCGTTCCATTATCACGACAGACCGAGGATCACAGTTTCAATCAACATTATTTTCTGAATTCACAAATTTACTAGTTGTCAAACACATAAAAACAACTACATACCATCCATGCGCCAATGGTTTAGTCGAGCGTTTCCACCGACAATTAAAAGCATCTTTTACTGCCAGTGCGGATAATCGTTCCTGGCTAGATAGACTACCATTGTTTCTACTAGCACTCCGAAATACAGTTAAAGAAGATCTTCAATGCATTGCATCTAAATTAGTTTTCGGCAGCCCATTAATTCTGCCGGGTCAAATCGTAGAAAATGAAATATCTACAACGCCATCGACTCAATTTATAAACGATTTTCGAGATTGAATGTCTGTTCTTAAATATACACCGACACGCACGGCGAAAAAGTCGGTATTTGTCCCAAAAAGTTTGGACACTTGCGATTTTGTATTCCCGCGTCGTGACGCAGTTAAAAAGCCACTCACGCCAAATTATACTGATCCACACAGAGTTATCTCTCGTACACCCAAATACTTCACTGTTTTAATTAATGAATAACAAACTACTGTCAGCATAGACAGACTTAAACCAGCATTACTAGATACTGTGAATAATGCATCAAATCTACCAGATCAAGTATTACCTTCCCAGATCAAGGATGAGTCTAACACTGTTCCCACGAAAACTACCAGAACAGGTAGACATGTTCATTGGCCATCCAGATACAGCACCTATTATTGAAAGTGTTGTTCCTGCAACTTCCAACCTGGTGGAGTATTTTAGCATCCCGCTACCAACTTTTTTATCAACATCAATTTTGTACAAAAAGTGGATCACAGAGCTTATTCAGCTTAGTAAATATTTTCAGAAAATCTCAACTTCTGATTGGTCACTTAATATTTAATAACATCGACCTAGTTCTTAATCTGACCAAAAAAATAATTCCGACAAAATCTATCTAGCTTCCGTAAGTCTATCACGTGACCAAAGTTAGCAATAAAATATGAAACGTTTTTCATCTTCGACAGTGCTCCGATCGGAATCCTTTGAACTCGTCGCACAGTTCCAGGCTTTACGTTAAAATTCCTTAACATTATTCCAGCCTGAGAGAACACTCATTCACACAGCAATATTTTATGACGTACAATCAACTCAAGTTATCCACATTCAACTTAACACTTTTTCATACGCTTTCATGCTCAACGTTAATTATTACAATTAACATAAACACAGCTTGTTAAGAACCATTTACTCCAACTAGAATATTCTCTTCAAACAAGTGAAAGCAAATCAAAGAGTGACAATTCCGTAAACCTTAAAGTAAGTCGTAAACAATATTTCTCTATTTCAAATACAAACTTGAACTGTTTATTTTTTCTTAAATTACTCAAACACACTTTCTCATTATTGTACAGACCATTCAACAAATTATAATCTATCAAACCAGAACTTTGATAACTTTTCATCTAAACATAAAAGGACGTTTGAACTTTTTAAAACTACCTTTTTACTCCAGTTGTTTTTTGTATCTCTTGTTTATATAAATATTTTATTCATTGTTGTGCAAAAACTGTTGTTTCTCATGTTGTCCTTATTCTATGTTTGTTGAATACTGAAATTTAATGTGAGAGGAAATTTGTTAATTTCATCATGCAGCCTAATTTACTCAACAATTTTTGATCAATATAATTTAATCCATTAACACAACCCCCACACTTGTAACTTTATCTTACATAAATTGACTTTTCTTTGATATTTGTTAAAGTAATTAATTTTATCCGGATTTTACAACAGTTCTGGAAATGTAAACAGGATATTTGATTTATATTACTGCTTTATGGTTTATTGATTGATATCGTACAGTATAATATAAGGTCAATCTAAGAGAACCAACCCCTATATACATAGGTATAAACACATAGCAAGATAGATAGATAGATAGATAGATAGATAGATAGATAGATAGATACTGACAGCAAGATAGATAGGTAGATAGATAGATAGATTCTGACAGCAAGATAGATAAATACTGACAGGCAATAGATAGATAGATAGATAGAGAGAGAGAGAGAGAGAGAGAGAGAGAGAGAGACTGACAGAAACAGTTAAATCCATAAATCCTAAGCGTAATGATGAATAAAAACTTTTACATTACACAACAAATATTTATTTTTTAACATAATCATTTTCCATTTCAATGCACTTTGCCCAAAATTTCTCCATCATTCATATAGAACTGGTCAGCAGTTTGCTCTTTGATGTCTGCGTGGGAGTGGTATAGGTATTCGTTTAATAAAATGTGAAAGCGAATTAATAACAAGGGAATTTTTGCATGCAACATTTTGACATAGACAGATTCAAACATACATACGGCTTACGTTGTTACACCGGTTCTCGTACGATCACAGAAGTTAAGCAACGTCGAGACAGGACAGTGCCTAGTAGGGTGATAGCTTGGGAATACAGGTGCTGCAAGCGTGGATATGCGGGTGGTGTAATGCATAACGGTTTGGAATTGGAAATCAAAGTGCCGAGTTCTAATTCCAGTCGGGTTCGTTATTTTCTTTTACTCGCAAATTATGATATTCGTGAATGTTCCCAAATTTAAAAGCTTTAATAAACAAATACAAATGACATCCTTGCTTTTGTATATAAACACATGCAAAATTAAATCCTTACAATTGCCTTGATAAAGTCCCTCAGAGGACGAAACGCGTCGGCTAAGGATAGTTTTTCTTCTTGTTCTTTTATTCACACACACACACACGCATATATATATATATATATATATATGATACAAGTAAATGGTTTGATGCATACTGACTTCAGCATACCGACTCCAGAGTTTCGTAGACGGACAGTCCACTCGTCAACAATTGAGTGCTTATACTTCTCGATTTTTCTTTTTTATATGCACTTTTCATTGGTCCAAGTTTTTGTTTTTCTTTTAATTGAAAATAGGAATATTTTAATGTAAAATAATGTTCTTTTACAAACTGTACTCTCAACTATGACACCATTTCCATAAACGGTTCTTTCTTTTTTTTGTTGTTGTTTTTACAGCGTTCTTCTGGTGAATTGGTGAAGAATAAGGGAGCATCAAATGTCGAAACTGTGTCTCATTTAAAATTCAAAATCCACTCATGAACCAAACAGAAGGACACGTGGAAATGTCACCCTTCTGAATATGTAAAAAATTTCAGTTACATGGGAAATGAAATCACGTTTTCAAACACTATCTATAGAATAAAGCTACGAACTTTTGTTCCAACCATTTATATATAACGTTTAGCGCCACACTCTGGATTAAAAAAATTGATTGCGTGCCTTTTTCAAAATTAATTTAGTATCTCACTTCGAGCCAGAGTGAATTTCTTTTCATGAAGGGGTTTATCATCTATTCAATCATAATAACAATAATAACAAAATTACTGCATAAAGTTTCCATAAAAATTTAACTCTTTTTGTCTTATCTACAATGCTTGCTAAAGAGAATATCAGGGGTGGCGAATTTAAAAATTTAGGTAATACCTCTCTAAATGAAAATGGACGCCATGCACTAATCACTAATTGGTTAAATAGTTTAAGCATCCTAGCTAAGTGAGAGTTAATTAAACCAAAGTAGGTATGAAACTTACTAATTATTATAGTACACACATACACACACATATATATTGAGTCCTCTAGGTCACTGGCGTGTTTATGAAAAAATAAATACTCAAACATTCGCCTTTCTCTCTACCGGGCGCCGATGGCCTAGGGGGTAGAATCTCCGGCTGATACCAAATCGGTTGGGTTTCGGTCTTGAAGCGATCGGATATCTAGCCATACTGATGAGCTATGATACAGCGAAACAGTCTCTCTGTGGATGACGATATCAGCTCCCAGAAAAAACAAATCGGTCGTGTATTGTGGAGAGAAAAGCGCGAATTTGTAAACAGTGACTATTACTGCTAATAACGCAAGACTCTCCCAACTGGCGTGTTTATGAAAAAATAAATATGCAAAAATTCGCCTTTCTATCTGCCGGGCGCCGATAGCCTAAGGGTCAGAATCTCCGACTGATCCCAAATCGGTCGGATTTCGGTCTTGAAGCGATCGGATGTGTAGCCATACTGATGAGCTGTGATACAGCGAAACAGTCTGTGGATGACAATAATATATATATATATATATATATATATATATATATATATATATATATATATGGATGAAACGTACTAATTATTATAGGGTACATATATGTCTATTTTATTACATTTTGACCTTCATCTACCAGGCAAAAGTTTGCGCCTGTTATGAATAACAAAGAAATATCATCGACATCGTTGTGATAATAAACAATTGAAAGAATATTCATCCTCATCAGGAAATTGCTTACGTTTCTTGCCTTTACCGTTTTTCGTAAGAGATGGCTGATTTTTTATTTAATCTTTTTTATTTAATATTTTAATGTCTAGAATATACGTTGCTGATTATTCAACAATAAATTTAACTCCGCCAGTGTTAGTATATTTTAAGCAAATATGGGAGCCTTTCAATTCACAATTTTCCTGTTTTATACTTGTATGAATTCAAAATGGGCCATAATGAAATGAAACAGCAATGAGAATAAATTCTACTGCTGCAGACATGTTGCCAGGCGACGAAGAGTAAGACTTGTATATATATTTTTAAATGCTGCTTGTTGCAACTTTATTTTAGAAAACCAAGCGAGAGCTTGACAAAGTTAAATGCCTTAGTGAAAAGATATCGAAAAATGCCAGTTAAAAAAATCTCAAAACAGACTTCAATGTATCGATTGGAATAATTTCAAACTATTTGAAAACGATTTACACAAAATGAAAAAACAGTGCAATAAATAGGTTACACTTGAATGAGGAGTAGAGATGAAAACACACATAATAACATATGGAAATATAGATCAATTATGTTCAACATTGAGAAATTGGTTCATTTTACATCGAATATTTATATGTAATGAAAATGAATTGTTTAAAATCAGCATCATATATAATAATGAAAGTTGAATTTTTTCCGTATGTTTTTTTATTCGTAAGTTCTCTTTCGCTAAAGCAAATACATATATATATATATATATATATATATATATATATATATATATATATATATATATATATATATATATATATTATATAAATGAATCCTATCTGGAGGGTTGTTTCCAAGTGATATATCATTTACGTCAATGTTCTACTCTGCAAGCAATACGATAAAATTTACCTGGAAATGCTAAATTATACAACGCGAACAGATAATATACTGGTCTTAACCAGATAGTGCAAATACTCTTATCCAAGGCAGAAGTAGCGATTCATACAGTGTTAATTGTATTTATTTTGCATAAAGATTAATAACAAAATCTATACACTGTCCGGGTACAGACGAGGCGGAGAAAGAAAATTATATTTTCGAATTGTTGAAAGGGTTACGAGAATCTGTTCAGAGGAAAAAATAATTCAAATTCAAAAATACTCTCTTAAATAGGCGCCCGATACGAACTGACAGGTAAATTGTTCACCATGACACTGGCTCTGCATGATGCGTTAGCCTCTTGTAATTTGGGGATATTGCCAAAAATTTAAAAAGTCTCATGACTGCATTACTGAAAAGTATTCTTGAAATCGAGTTTCAAAAATATTTCCAGGAATGGCACCATCGTCTCACGAAGGGCATAGTTCAAAGGTGATAGCTTCATCTACCGCAAGGAAAGATGGTTCTTTGTGTCGCGCCAGAAAGTTTTTCTCGCCTAAGTCCATCCTTCAAATCTATAAATCAACCATTCGCCCTTGAATGGAATACTGCTGCCATATATGGTTTGGAGCCCCCGTTGTTCGTCTTAAGGCCCTCCACAAAATCCAGAGACGGATATGCAGTGTGATTGGCCCTGACCTGGCATCTCGTTTACAGTCACTCTCTCACAGATGTGGCGTTGCTCCCCTCTGTCTTTTCTACAAATACTTTCACGGTAACTGCTCCGACAAGCTTCTTTCGCTAGTTCCCAAACTGCATGAATTTAAACGTACTACTAGGTTGGCATCTTAGTCGAACACTTTCACTGTCGAAACGGTTAAATGTAGCCGTCTCTTCTACTCCAACAGCTTCATGTCTCACACTTCCCGTCTGTGGAACTCCTTTCCTCTTACTTGCTTCCCTGATAGCTGTAATCTCCAACTATTCAAATGCAATGTCAATCGACATCTCCAGATGCCTTGATCTATTCCTCGTCCTTCCCTTCATCCTTTCCGCTATCACGCCTCTTTACTCTTGTTCCCACTCTCTGTAACCCCTTGAGTGCTAGTTGCATTCCCGCTTTGCTTGGGGTGAAATGCTTAAAAAAAAAGATAATAGTAACCAAATAAACAAACCCTGCTTTCACAGGAGCCCGTCCGAGAATTAGACTGACATACCTAGTAAGATACGTGAATGAAACTGTGTTGATAGCAGATCAAAAGAGAAACCAAAAGAAGTGTTAGACAAAGTAGCCGAGGACAGCAAGAAGAAAAAACTAACTATTAACTAAGAAATAAGGATGCATTGGGTCAGCAAAATAGACAGATCAGAGTTTGAGTTATATTTTGGGAACGGCAAAGATAAACTGATGCAGAAAATTATCTGGGTAATGTAGTAACAGTCGACAAAAAATGTGACACATAAATCCGAAGGCACATAAGAATAGCAAAATATGCCTTTCAGAAACTAAGCAAAATATTAAGAAATACGAGAAACAATGAAAAGAGTGTTGAATCCCTGTGTAATATCTAATCTCTTATATGGTAATGAATGATGGACAGTTTCCTCACGGGTGAAGAAGAGCACTTGACCCGAGAGCAATGTGGTTTTGCCAATGAATGCAGAGGACACAAATTATGTGATCAACGAAGAAGCTTTAAGTAAAATAAGAACTGTAAATAAATTTACACTTAGATTGCTGAACTTTCTGGGATACACGAGGAAATAGGGCCTGGAGAATTTAACACACAGAGGATAGGGCGAGTAAAGCAAATGGTAATCTGCTTAGGAACCTGCGAGGAACCTGCTTAGTGAGTTTGTGTGAATTGATGTCAGAACAAGTAGAAGAAGAGAAAGAAGAAAGAAGAAGAAGTAAGAAGAAAAAAGAAGAAGAAAAACAAGAAGAAAAAAGAAGAAGAAAAACAAGAAGAAAAATTAAAAGAAGAAAAAGAAGTTTATTATTCAGCTGTATCTTTTGTTTCAGAAGTTATAATGGCGTATACAAATATTGAAATTCTGTCAATTTTGAGGCATTATTTTCAAACAGGCTTCAAATTTACTGGCAGAATTTAGGAAGTGGAAGGAAATGAAACAATATATGAACTTTTCAAGGATGGGGATATCTTGTCCATCAGTTATTTATTATGAATTAAAACATATGGTAGATGAGAACTGACCTAACAGCACCCGGAATCTTGAAAAAGTGCTAGGATCATGGAAACA